CAGCTATTATAATAACTAACAGTACTAAATCTTAAAATACATTACGTAAATAACATAACATTACGTAAAGACCAAATATATTTCCAACATTCAATAGAATATCTTAAAATACAAAAGAATCTAAAAACAACTACTTATGTTAAAATTGTCAAAGAAAAAAAACCATATGTTAGTATTTAATTAGTATTTAATTAAAATTATCGAATCTAATTAAAAGAAAAAACTAAAAATAAAACCCACCCAGCAATCCTAGCAATCCGTTTGAGGGGAAAAAAAAAAAAAAAAGTTGGAAAAGTAGAATTTCATTACTCTGGTATATTTTTTGATCTAAACTCAGAAAGAAGAGGATTTGTATTCTTATACTGTGTGAATGATTTGATATTTTAATTGCATTTATGATTTTCTTTATTTTTTTTTCTTATATCAATTTTTTTTTTTCTATATATCAATTGTAATTTTATATATATACTCTTGTACCTCGTAGTATTCTTGAGCTTTGCTCCCCTTGTCCCGTTGATGGTTGCTTTAATATGTCTAAGTGCATGAGTTCTGGCTCTGTAACTGAACTCTTCATATAGTAACTGGTGCGCCTCACTATATTGACAACCAGAAATGAAATGATAAGGCCCAATGCAAGTCATTGAATTAAATGAAATTTTCTCGTCTCAATTTATAAATATTACTAATTAATCACATATGGAAAGGTCTTTTAATTATAAACAATAACAATAAACTAAGGCAACTCAAAATTTATAAAACAATTTAGACAATTTTGTTGGCTCAAGGGTCAATTTCTAATCTCGGATTTTGATGATTAATACAAAACAAATAAATTTAAATTATGCTATTTGTGCTAATTTTATTTTATGGAATTACAATTGGAAAGAAATTGTACATTGGCAAGTCCTATATTGGTTGAAGATATTCGAAGATCATAGTAGGTAGGTTTTAGGATACTTTGTGGAAAGAGAAAATCCATATATTGAGCACAAAATTTATTTTTCCTCAAAAAATTTTTCGGAAATTAGATTTCTTCAAAATAATTATATTTTCGAAAATATTCTTTAAATCGAAATGTTTTAAATTCTCCTAAAATTAATAGTTACCTCTTCTAAGTTTTGTAAATAAAAAATCATACACTTTTCGGAAATATCTTTTTTTAAAAATCTGAAGTATTTAAATTTATTTTTTTACCTTAAAAACGAAGGAGAATTTTTTTCGTTTTTAGAAGAGCAATCCTTCCGTAAAAATATTTTCCCAAATATGCTACCGAAAAGTCGTTTTGTTTAAAGGGAAAACAAAAATCGTGTCTTTATATCTCGTGTTTTTCTCTTACCAAAAAGGATAAAATAAATTTTTGGTAACAAAGATTTTCATATCTTCTAAAAAGGAAAGAAGATATTCTGATTTCAAAAGAAAATCTCTTTCCAAAGGCGACAGCTTCTTAGCTTCCTATATAAAGGAGCATTCACGTCTTGAACATTAGTGAAGTAAGAGTTTTCGTTTTAAGAGCATTCTCTCATTGAACAAATCTTTATCTCTCAAAACTTACTCGCTACCCCCATTTTCTTTTCATCTCTATACTTAACATTTTCAATATTTAAAGTGAAAAGAATTTTTACAATTATTTTTGAAAAATAGTTCTGTGTTCTAATCGATTTGTAATCTGATAAAACTGTTTTTCCTGTGCTTATATGGGCGTTTCTTTCTGTCTATTTAGATTTTGTAATCTATAGTAGACAGGCTCTTTATTTGTTATAAGCTATTGTGATAGAGGTTATCAAGCGACCTTCTCCTTGTGTGAGATTTTAATGAGGTTATCAAGCGACCTTCTCGCATGTGTGGGATTTTAACGTCTTTTGAATTGAGTTTCATGTTACTCTACCAAAAACAGAAAGGGTTGAAGTATAACTAAACCTTTGGAAAATCGTAGTGGGGACAAAAAGGGTAGATCTAGGTGTTGATCTATTGCCTTGTACTATTGGTTTGTCTCTTACCTTAAAAGAAGTAACATAGTTAAGGATCTCAAGAATGCGTCTTGGGGCAGTGGATGTAGGCGAGTTAGTGCTGAACCACTATAAATCACTGTGTTCATCTTTTAATTTTCTGAGTTTGCTTGATATGTTAATTTTATTACACTCTGTTTTTAATTTAGAAACGCTAAAATGTTAATGATGTTCAGATGTTCTAAAAAATAATAAGTCTTAATTCTCTTCTGAACATTTAGAACTCATGGAATTCTAATAAGTGATAAACATGTTTCTAACGTGTTCTTTTATCATAGAGTAATATTTCACTGATTGAGTTCTATTAATTTTTTAAACTCTTATGAGGAAGGTCTAATCTGATTAGCTTTCCATTCTAAATCGTTCTGATATTTGATTAAGGGCTTTGTGAACGAAGTTCTGAAATATTAAAACTGTCTTTCATAGCTTTATTTGATTTTTCAAAACTTTATGAGTAAATTCTAATCTCGAATAACTTTCCTTCATAAAGAAGCTCTGATATTGAAAAGTCAGTGGTGAAGCTTGTTCTACATCAATAGCTGCACTTTGCACAGGACTTTCTATCTTTTTAATTAGAACATTGTGAGGGAATCTAAATCCATACTTCTATTCTCACAAGTTCTTTGTGTTTTCCGCAAATGCCACGTTAGAATTCTAAATATGTTTGTTTAGAATTTCTAATATTTATATCTGTTTTTAGAAAACCCAATTCCACCCCCTCTTGGTTGTGCCATAATATACGGGACCCACAAATTTATTTATAATATTTGGAATTATATATTTTTTATTATGTAATCTAAAACCCATAAATAAATTGTTGTAAATAAATAAAAGTGATTTTGCAAATAAATTTATATTCTTAAAGAAAAATTATTTAGGAATCTCAATATTAATTTTATTAATTATAATACTTTAAAAAACTGTCTTTAAAGCGGTTTGCTCTGTAACTAGGAACTTCTGTCATATAACGTGTAACCTTGTAGCGTTTTAACTTTTAATGATTTTTTTTGACTTTATATATATTTTTATCCTCCGAAACTCAGCTTAATTTAAACAATTTAATATCCCTTTTTGTCATTTTTAATACCAACTAGTTACAACTATTTTTATCGAACAACTTATGATAGTGTCAGTTTATAGTGTTTAGTATAGTTTTTATTAGATTTAGTGAATTTTATCACTTTGATTTGTGTTTAAATTCATTTTTGTATAATTTTGTTTTCAAGCTTCTTTTGATCCATAAACTGCCTGATCGGAGAGAAATTTTTGCAAGTTTGGCACGAAAAGGGGCATTAACAAGGCAAAATATCAGCCTCAAGCACGCCCAGCCCGCTAAAAAGCACCCCGTGCTAAAAACTTAGGGAATTTAAGGGAGAGTCAGGAGTGGAGCATGCCTGAGACGTGCTTAGGAAGGCACGACTGTGCCCAGAAGAAAAACTCAGGGTGCAGCCTAGCATGCCCGTGCTGACAAAATCTTAGTTGGGAAGGGACAGAGACAAAAGCACGCCTAGCCATAAGTGGCAACTGTGCCAAATGGCACGCCCGTGCCACCAGTTCATCAGGTAGTGCCTGGCCTACATGCCCCGTTGGCTGCAACCATCCAAAGTTCCAGACTTGAGCACGCCCAAGCCGTTGCTCTTTAGTACGCCCGTGACTTTCAAGGGCAGAACTGGCATGAACTAAAATGCAAATCAATCCTTTTCTCAATAAAGGCCCACCTCGGTAATTCTACGTACTAAACAAATCTAGACCTATTTTGAAGAGAAAGGGCCTACTAAGAAGAAATCAAGGCTAAACATCATGATCTCCTATAGAGATTTTGTATTATAAGGATTCTATTTCCTAACGGGGGAAGGGTTTTTCAAGATTTTTGCCCCCTTTCAGGAGCTCTATATAAAGAGGGGAGTTTTTGCAGTTGATAATCATCTGTCTTTTTAGGCTATTTTCTGCATATTCTCTCTCTCTCAAAAGTTTCAAGCATCCAAATTTGTGCAAGATTCAAGGAAGCCATTCCACGTAGCTGGTGATCTAGTTTTATCTCTAAATCCTTAACTTTGTTTTTCTTCATTGCTATTACTGATTTAATGAAGATTGATTCAGTATATACTGAGTTGTATTTAATTCTTATGTCCAGCTAAACTCTATATTCTAGGGATTTGTGTAACTTAATTCGATTCAATTTATAATATTAGATTTGTTCATTGTTCTTGTTAATAATTTATTTATTGAGCTTAAGCTTCCAGGGCAGAATTTTCCCTTGGGATTTGAACATTTCAATTATGACTATCGAGAGAAGGGTTTTTTGATATGAAATCACGATAATAATTACTTGAGAATTAATAACTTGATGCGGAAGCTATATGGTTTGGGACTCAAGGATCTCTCTCTTCTTTTTT